TGGCATTGGAAATAGGGTCGGAGCTTCCGTGAAGCTACGACCAATGCCAAAGCTAATTTTTCAAAGTGTGGATACCGTGTTTCGGCGTCCACTAAGGTTTTGCTAATATAGTAAATAGGAGATTGCGTACCTTCATTTTCACGAACTAGGACTGCGCTGACGGCGACCTCTGATACGGCCAAATATACCAGCAGTGGCTCGCCTGGATTTGCTTTGGCTAGCAGTGGCGGTGAAGATAGGTACGCTTTCAATTTCCTTAGGGCCTCGACGCATTCCTTATTCCACTGTAACCCTTTGTCCTTTCTCAGCACATTAAAAAACTTATGGAATCTGTCGGAGGACCGTGAGATGAACCTAGACAAGGCGGCTATTCGCCCCGTCAACTTTTGCACCTACTTTTTGCTGTTCAGTATCTCGGGTATCGCGTCTATCGCCTTGATCTGATCTGGATTGACTTCGATACCTCGTTGTGATACGAGAAACCCTAAGAATTTTCCTGATGCCACGCCGAAGGCGCATTTCTCGGGGTTCAGTTTCATCCCGTATCTTCTCAATATCTCGAAGGTTTCTTTCAGATGGTCGATGTGGTCCTCTTTTCTTGCCGACTTGTAGCATTCTTGTGCGGTGAGTGGCTCGCCTCGAATACTGAATACTCCCCATGGGGTAGGGAATTTGATCACTTGGTAGAGGCTTGAAGGGACTGCTCGCATGGCGTGTATCCACGGGCGTCCTATGATGACGTTGTACGCCGTTTCTTGGTTCATCACGTGGAAAGTTGTTTCCAGCGTGACTCCTCTCGCTAAGACGGGTAGTGCTATTTCTCCGGACGTCCGTTCCACTGCATTATTAAAATCGGTTAGTGTTATGCAGCGCGGTATTACCCTATCCTCGAGTCCCATTTGTACGAGGACCCTTGGGTGGATAATACAGGCGCCACTTCCGTCATCGATCATGACTCTTTTAACATCCGTATCAGCGATACGTAACGTGATAACTAAAGCATCATAATGAGGGAAAGACAAACCGTCTGCATCAGACTTATCGAAGGTGATACTATCTTCGAAGTCGTCATACCGTTCATGGGCGATGGTCCGCTTTAGTCTGTGTGTGGTGGCGAGCTTGACGTGATTGATCACTGACTCGTCGCCGCCTCCGACGATCATGTTTATCGTGCGCGCTGGGGAAGGTGGCTTTGGCGGCCCTTGGGGTTGTTCCCGTCCGCGTGCAAAGTTGATTTTCCCTTTGTCACTGAGTAACTCCCTCAGGTATCCCTGGTTCAGCATCCAGACCACCTCTTGCCGTAGGCCTATGCAGTCTCCGGTTTTGTGTCCTCGTTCTTGATGGAACTCACATAGGGCGTTTGATTTCCTTGTGGCAGGGTCTGATTTCATCTTCTGCGGCCAATGCACCTTGGTGCCCAGCTTCTCCAGTGCGTACACTATTTCTGAAGGAGATACACAAAAGTTATGGGCGGTTAATAAAGGGGGCGTACCTCTTTCGTTTCGGAGTGGGGCGACGTGTCGCTGAGCGCGTCTGTATGCCTT